ATGAAACAGGAAAGTACAGTCGTGTAATCCATTTATTTCAACAAAGTAACTGTATTCTAAATACCACCTTTTTAAACGGTAACTGTAACAGAATACAGTTACTCATATTTTGTATTTTAAATACGTAACGGCGGTACATGTATTCCGTTACTCCCCAACACTGGTCACCATACAGCACTTTGCTGCCATGCAGACCTCCTCTTCTATGCTGTTTCTCCTCTTCAGACATTTCCTCCTAAGTTGGTGCTGCTGGATTTTGGAGATACGGACAGCATGCCTGAGGCGATTGCAGAGATCCTGGACTGTTACGGGTGCCTGGATATTATTATCTTTAACAGCAGCATGAAGGTGAAAGCTCCAGCACAGACTGTGTCTCTGGAGGTGGACAAACTGCTGATGGACAACAACTACTTTGGGCCCGTCACTCTGGCTAAAGGTAGATGATGGGAACATGTTTAACTTTGACCTTCTAAGGGTGAGACGATGAAGGCTGAATTTCTCTTTCAGGCGTGCTGGCCTCCATGATCTCCAGGAGAAGTGGTCACCTGCTGCTGGTTAACAGCATCCAAGGGAGACTAGCTGTGCCTTTTCGCAGTACCTGTGAGTTTTTAAATTCCCTTTTTCGTGAAACTTCAGATAACTTCAGTTTGCATAATGTTCGTATTATAAAAACTGGTTTTAGTTTATGGTGAACTCATTTGCTGTATGTTGAGGTAATCTGTTGTAAAACTGCTTAAACTGTTTCTGTGGAAACAACAGAAAAGTTAGTTCAGTCTGTATTTTGTTTCTGATCAGTTACAAAGCAAACTCGAGATTTTTGACAAGAATCAACTGTTCTAATTACTCATTTCTTTGATATTTGGTAACACCAGAATTAATAATATTCTTAGTAGCTAAATGCAAGAATGGTGATGTGTTATTTTCTCTATTTTTATGCCAATAGTTTTTCTCAATATTGCACATAAACACAAAAAAATATGAAAAAAATATTTAATTTACTAAAAA